CTGCTACTATCACCAAGTCCCTAGGTGCCTGAATGTACCAGACATCAAAGCTGATGACTGCCACTATCCCAATATCATGCAGTTTTGGAAATACAGGCCAGGCATTTAATGCAATGCTGGTTATAACAGGGTTCAATGAAATCCTCCATTCTTTTTTTTTTTTTTTTTTTTTTTGTGGAACCTGGGATTGAACTCAGGACCTTGCGTGTGCCAGGGAAGTGCTTATTCCACTGAGCCATCTCCCCGACGCCTGAAGTCATGCATTCTTGAATGATACTTCAAGAATTCTAACTTCATTATAAAATTGCCAGTATATCTCACTGATAATTAGAGAGAAATGGTGGCAAGTACATTCTATACTACATTGCATAAGGTGATTATGAAGTCAGGCCAGGAGTTAGAGCAATTCTTTATTTTGTGTGCTGATAACTTGGTAGTGATAAGTAACACTATCACCCAATTCATGCCGCAAGTGGTTCAAGTTATACTTGACAACTGGGATTAAGGACCCTTCTACATATATACAGAGAGAGTCATTCTGATTTTTTTTAAATACAATCACTTCAACACTTACTCCTTCAATGACTCTTTAAATAGCAAATTATATTGAATGTAAGATAAAGCAAGAAGATGCACAAGCAGACACTTCTGCTAGCAGACCATGAACTCGCTATAGAGATCTAGCCCTATTTGCTTAACTGCTTAAAGTCCCAAGTCCTTGTAATTAATGATAAGCCAAGTCAGAATAATATCATTCCAGAGAGGGTAGTAAATTTATAATTTATGAAAAGTAGGGTTGGAGAAATAACATAGATTTTGTACTTAAATCAAGTGTGTAAATGTGCTGCAAAGACTGAAGAGGAGTTGGAAGAGTCCATCAGAAAGTCCTAGAAATGCACTTGTGCTTCGCTGTAACTCGATCATACTTTCACTAATAAATATTCATATATTTTAATCCTATCTTCCATCTGGGTTAAACTTAAAAGCGGCAAATATGAAATAAATAAATAATGAGCTCCTGCCTTCAGTGTGACTCCGGTAAGCAGTGCGGTGCTCTGCGGCAAGCGTGTCCTGCTTGCTTAAGAAGCACCGCCGTGCGGGGCAAGCCAAGCCAGCGCCAGCCACGCATCTGACAGGAGCCTGTGCGCCCAAATCCAAAGCTGAAAGTCAAATCCCCAGCACCCTGGGATAGAAGTGCCCCTGGAGGGTTTGTTCTGAATGATTTCTTTCTCTCTCTCACTCTCTTTCTTTCTTTTTTTGTATTTTAGGGAAGATTCTACAGGGTGTTTAGGGTCTCACTCCTAGATCAGACTCATAGTGATTTTCCTGTTTACAGCTTTCCAAGCGCTGGGCTTCAGGAGTGCGCCATCACGCCCAGTCTCAATTGCTGTCTCAGTGCGCCCCTGAGGTGGGACCGGCATGGTGGGCCCGGGGATCGAACCCCTGGCCCCTGTGCCTGCTTGTAGGTGCTTTAATCTGCTGAGCTATTTGGCCAGCCCTGGGAGGGGTTTGTTAAAATTTATTTATTTAGGTATGTATTTGTTCATTTATTTATTTGGTACAAATTCTCACTGCACAGCTAGGACTCGTAGTGATCCTCCTATCTCAGCCTCCCCAGCCATGCGATTACAGGCATGTACTACCATACCTGGTTTCTGGGGTTCTGGGACTGGCATAGCATACGGTACTGGGGATCCAACTCGGGTCCCCGTGCTTGCCAGGCAGGTGCTTATACTGCCAAACTATCTCCTCAGCCCTGCGCTTGGAGTTTTTTAAAGCGACAGTTACATTGAAATAGGCTCCTAACATGGGCTCTAATCCAGCACGACTAGCACTTTATTAGAAGAGGAGGTGTAGGATGCAATGCACTCATAGACCATGTGAAGACACAGGGAGAAAAAGGACACCGACAAGCCCAAAGAAAGAAGCCTCGGAAGCAATTCATCTCCCTGACACCTGGACCTTGGACAGCTAGCATCCAGATCTGTGAGGAAATCAGTTCTGTTGTTTAAGGTTCTTAGTCTTCTGAGCTTGTTAAATATCATGCCTGGCACCTAACACAGGAGTTAACGGATAGAGTTCCTCACACATCACTCTTCATTTGTACAGATAGAGCTATTCTATTCATGTTTTTAAAGTTTATAAAATTCTAGCATGGGATTTCACAATTTGACCAAAGTTTACGAAGCAACGGTATTATAGACTCGAGACTGATATGCCATCCTTAGGACTTAGGTGAGATGATTAGTCTATAGACAATAATCCATTCATCCATCAGAGTCAATGCAGCGCTCTCAAAAAAGAAAAGCCCACAAACCTCTTCTTGCCTTAGTGATGTTTAATTCACATTTTATCCAGTGATAGCTCTTTAAATTCTCTTTCATTCTTTTATTTTTACAAAATATTCCTCTTCCTTTCTACTTTTTATAAACTTCAAAAAACTACACCATAGGAATCTTAGAAAATAGATTCTGAGAAAAATTTTTTTGTTTTGATGTCAATGGTAGGATCCCAGGGGATGGGAGTTCTATCCAGAACCCCAGCCACACCGGGGTGCCAGCCCTGCTCTTGGGGTGCACTGAAATGGCAATTGAGACTGGGCCTGGTGGTGTATGCCTGTAATCCCAGCTCTTGGGAGGCTGTAAACAGGTGGATCACCATGAGTGCAATCTAGTAGTGAGACCCTGAACACCCCATAGACCCTTTTCTAAACTACAAAAAAAAAAAAAAAAAAAAAAAAAGGTAGGATCCCAAGTCCCTTTAAAACAGATGTAGAAAATAAAGAAAAGATGCATCTCATTTATTTGGTCCATTTAAGATACATCCGTATTTCTCTGACTTTTATGAACCAATACGTATTATGGAGTATGTGTAAAATAATATACTTCTAATTCTTTTCTTTTGTGGAATAACAGTAGAGTTACATTCAAGAACTAGTAGTAAAATTTACAGATGTGCAGATAGTTATCAAAAAGTTCAGACAAAGTTGAAGCTATAATTTAAAAAGAGTTTTACTCATTTTTCCATTTTCACTTATTTTTGTGACTTAAACTGTGAGCTTCTGATTGCATCAAGACTGTCACAATTTTGCACGACCACTTTGTGAAATGAGCAGCCAGAAACCTAAAAAAGTATTTCATATTAATTGTTCGGCTTTATGCATATTTCAACATACATCTTTAATATTCCTGAAATTAAACAGAGAATTAACTCAGGCGCTGCATCACTCAACTTTATAGTTACTACTGGAGGATTTGTGAGTTTATATATACTTATTAAGCATACTAAAATGAGGACTCCCGAATGCCAAAAAATAAATGTAGATAACAATTTTCAAACACAGCATTCTTCATGACTGTGATGCTGTGTTCTCCAGCTTGGCATGTTTACATTACCGAGAGCGTTTCTAGACGGCACTGCACAACGCCAGCCTCCCCTCCAAACACGTATAAATATGAAGTGGGAAGAGCTACCCGGAGCTGGAGGCCAGATTTCCCCTGATGTATTCAATTTAAATGTGTTTACATCGAGTCTTGGTGTGTAGCCAGTTTTCTAGTAAGGAGCACTCGTCTAGATAATAAAAATTGATAAAACAGCTATAAAACTTGTAAAATGCCATGACGGGGGTCCCATAAATGTACAATGGCCAGCAGGGTTTGGGATTTACACCTAGTGTTTGTCCGTTCGCAGAGACATATTCACACAAAGCCACTGGAATAACCCTTCACAATCAAGATAATATTCTGACAGCTCAGTGTCACCGACAAGAGTCCTGGGCAGGAGCCAGGAGGCCCAGGTGCGCTGTGCTATGCCAGTATTTAATGTAGTCTAATATCAGATAGATGTTAGCGAGAGAAAATACTCAGAATAAAGTACAGATAATAGCACGGACAGCCACTCATTTCAAAATTACTCGTGCTCATCATGCTGTGAGCTTTGTATTAAATTTTTCTGTCAAGTGGCAGGAATCACAGGGAGAAGTACCCCCAGAAAACCCTCCCTGTAACCTTGGATAAAGATCTATAAGATTAGGCTTTCATATGATAATGGCAAATGATGCCCTTTTTGGAAAAAGTACTGACTGGTAATAAAAGTCCTACGCAGAAGCTGCTTTCCTGGGACGAGGAGGTGGGGAATGGACGCACAACACTTCCTCCGTCCGCTTAGCACATTTAGAAAACTTGACAAGATGGGTGAGTCTGAGAGAATTACGTGAATTTCCAAAGCCCGTGGGCTTGTTTTATAAAACGAGAAGGTGGTGCTTTAATAAACGCTGGGCCACCTGAGGCATTTTCATTAAAGGCTCTCTCTAGACAGCACCGCAGGGTTTGCATTACCTTCGGCTTCCCAGGAGAACGCCCGAGTTCCCTGTTCAGGAAAAGCCAACGCCGCGTGTGAAGCATGAAGCAAGACAGTCCGCTTTGCCCTCTGCTACACAGGGTGTCTGCGATGCCACTAAGGTTTGTATTCATATTCAGATAAGGTTATTCTCTTTAGTTTAATGATCATCTTGTAAAAAAATAAAATGAAAAACAAAACTGAGATACTTTGTAGGATTTACCAGTGACTCTGACAGAGATGAATCCTGTGTCATTACTTCAGCGATGGTTGTGCTCATCTGTGCGAAACTATACAATGAACTTCCCAGACTCTGAAAGCTGCACACTGATTTAGTTTCTTTTCTTTCCTTTTTTTTTTTTTTTCCGGAACCTGGGATTGAACTCAGGCCCTTGCGCTTGCCAGGGAAGCGCTTATTCTACTGAGCCATCTCCTCGCCCCCTGATTTAGTGTCTTAAAGAATCAGCTTATCAAATGACAGAAACACCTGGAATTGCTTGAGAAGGTACAGAAGTTACGTCACCCTGGTAGATAACACGAAGCTGACACATAATGAACATTCAACAAAATTTCTAGTATCAGTGAACACATTTGCTGGTCCTAAGGAGGCAAGGAAGACAAGCCAGACCCGTAGACGTGTGCACCGGCTTCAAGGGACTCACCCTCTGGGTAGGCCTCTCGGCGCAGGTGTCCCGGCTGGTGTTTTTGTTTCTTGGCTGGTCGGGCTTTCTGCACCACTGCGGCGCTCATGCTGCTATCTGTAGATACAGGACTTGTGGGCCGAGGGCACTGAGCCGCGTGGAAGTGTCGTCGGCCTGAGGAGACAAAGCGGGCCAGGCTCAGCAAAAGCGAAACATAAAAGCTAGAAACACTGCTAGTTTCAGAAAGCACTTAGCTAAAGTCTACCAAATAAAAGACTTGTTTGCACTCTCTAGCCATTGGAGAAAATGGTGTAAAATCATTGTCAGGCATTTTCTTTCTCAGTTTTCTTTTGCTTTTTTTTTTTTTTTTTGGTGGAACCGGGGATTGAATTCAGTCCCTTGTGCTTGCCAGGCAAGCCCTTATTCTACTAAGCCATCTCCCCAGCCCCCTCTGTTTTCTTTATCCATACTACTTTTAATCTATTAAGGTTCATGGTAACTATTTGCTAAGGGAAACATCTGTATTATTTTCACAAGTAGTCTCAAGAAATGTTATTGTTAAACACAAGTATTAATTATATCTTTGCATAACATATTCAATGTTTATTTCTCTCTAAAAATGAAAAGCCAGACAGACTCCTTATGAAATTCATGTCTTAAGAATGAACCATAATTATTAAACCTCTGTTTTAATTAAATATGCATCCATGGTAGTTTCTGAGGGCAGAATCCTAATATTTTAGTATTACAATTCCAGGGATTTCCTTTTAGGTAGTCGGAAATTGATCTTGTTTACATACTTAGGGCAGGTAAAATTATAGCCACTTTCCATCTCAAGATATCTGTGAACTTTCTCTATTTTTTTATTTTAAAGAGAACAAACAATAAAAGCAATACCACAGTTCAGAACAACATAGCAGGAGAGTAACAATGGCTCACTGCATATTGTTATCTTCAAGTAGCTGCTTGGATTACACAATGCATGCATGAAAAATTGACCAAACAGTGTAAGTAGACACGTTTCTTTTTAATGAACTTATAGAAATTGGTAATATGACTATTTTTAACTATTATATGGATTCATTTTACACTTATATATTTATTTTCATATGTATATTCATTAATTTATTTATTTCCCTTTTCCCCTTTCCCTCATCCCAGTTTCTCCTTCCTGAAATTTTATCCTTAAAGTGATCCTACCAAGCCTTCTGCACTCTCGTGGTGGCCTAAGGCTGTATTTGCTTGTTTATATTTGGAGAAACGCTAGTCCCAGGTACCCTGGTAGTTCCATTTACTGATCCGATATGGTGCATTTCGATGCTCTCAAGTTCTCTGGCTCTCTCAGTGGATGATGTATTGCCACAAGCACAGCATTCTTATTCTATAATAGCAATGGCATTATTGACCCTGTATTGACCTTCATTGTGTTGGTGTCTAGAAATTCCAGTCACAAATCCAGAACTTTCTAGGGCGTCAGGAAAAAAAAAAGAGAAAGAAAACAGCAATTGGACCTAAACAGCATAGTTTTTGACTATGCACAGGAGCAGCTATATAAAATATAGTGAAATCAACATTTTTAACAATGCTAACCGAAGCATATTAAATAATGGATGCTAATGCAGCCAAGTGAGAAGCGCTGCGATTGGGTCGTTCATTTGCATTAACTGTGAGTCACATGATGCGCAGCATCGTTTCCTAAAAAGAACATGGTAATAGGCAGAGGCCAGTGCATGTTTAGTTCATTATAATTACAAGCCAAACAAAAGCCAGAAGCGCCACTAAATTATAATACAATAAAATATTAAACTAAATACTCTTTAGCTATGATGGAGCCTATTACAATTAAGGTTACATATCCATGAAAACAGAGAATTAAGGCTGAGATGGGACCCATTATTCATCCCACTGTGCGAGGCCTTCCATTGTTCCTACACTTCGAGGCATACGAACCTTCACAGATGAACTTTCAGTATTACTTCTATATTCACTGATTTAATGAACTGAAACACACGATTAATATAATCGGAAAGTAGTGAATTGCAATGTTTAATTTCATGCATTTATGTTTTTAGATTGAAGGTTAAAAAATAAGAGAAAGCGAGTTTACAAAAAGTTAGATTATATTTATTTATTAAGAAAGATAATTAGGTTTCCATATTTTACTAAATTCAGGAGCTACTGGGGGAAAAAGATATTTGGCTGAAGTTCATAAAACATAGACCTGATCAAATAACCATACTTTCTATAATAATGAGATTCTGGATAAATAATTTATAGAGATGACTTTGTGATGTGAATAAAATTTTCTCTGAATATATTTTGTGCCGATAAAAATAAAAACTAATATAATGTCCTAAAAATTTAGAAAACTACCTAGTTATAGTTAATAAACTATGAAAAACAAATTTAAAAAACACCAATTTTGATCTGTTGCGATGGCCTTTTTCTCTTTTGCTTTTCTTCTTTCTTTCTGACTATATTTTTTTTTTACTCCACTATCTCTATTTTCTTAGGTTGCAGAAATACACACACACACACACACACACACACACACACACACACAGAGTAGATGAATATGTTTATGTTTTTGCATATAATCATTCTGCCCAAATGAAAGTCATAAGGTAAATATGCTTTAAATTTAAATCACTTTATTTCTCATACTATTTGCTTTTCTGTGGGTAAAAATATAAGACTAGACATATATTCATTAATATATATGGAGTAATTAAAATACATCCACAAATCACTTATTTTGTTGTTTCAAAATATTTAATACATTTGTGAATTTGATTTATACTTTTGTACTATCAATTTGCTTCTTTATGCTAAGAATCATCTTGATTTACGTCTTGTACTGTGTATTTTGAAGATAACATCACACAGGCATGTTAACAACTGCTGTCCTCTTATATTGATTTATTCTTTATTTTTAATGAACATATAAAAATAGTCAAATAAGTACACATTAGAAATGATACAGAGTATCACTAAAAGTTATAGGAATTCAACAATGGTTTTTATATGACATACTGTTTTCTTCAAATTCTTCAAATTATCAGATATAAGCTTATAAAATTGGTTGAAAAATCATTAAAAACTGAAAAGGAGAAAAAAGTAACCATTAACTGCTTGCAACAGACCAACAGAGACTAACAGCATGATCAACCAAGCTATCACATATATA